AAGAAGATGATGGTAAAACCAAGTCTGTCACTCCACGATTTGATCCGATTACCACCTACAGAGGCGAAAAAACGAGTCACATACGCGGACTACTTCGAGTTTGTCCGCTCGGAAAAATTGCGTTATGATCTCGAAGAATATACAGAGGCTTGTGCTGGGCGTCGGATGATGTCGAGAAGATTTTTCCGGCACTGGGCACTGGATCTTTTCTAAGAGCTAATTCATGCAAGGCTGCCGATTCTTTGCTGCGTCAGGATTATCGAGATATTGAAGAACGAGGATTTGTATCATATTTGCTTGGCGGCTACAGACCTGAACTCATAATGGTTCAGTTCACGTTGACAACCATAATTGGCAATTGTATAATCGACATACTGTAACCGACTTAATAAAACCTGCCTCACAATTGAATACGAGTTATTAGTGACTATTCCACATCATCTAATTCCTACCCTAAAAAAATACTAGTTTTTACGAGTTTATATGAGAGCCTCGGTTGAGTTAAGAAATTATGAACCAATTATGAATGATCTATTTTTTTTGGTAGATAGAGATTTTATTTGTATTTAACGTCTTCTCATACTCAGATCAAAGGATTATTTTGTAACTCGTCTAGCGTACTGCATTGGTGGGTTATGGGGCAATTTGATGTTGTTCATCGGCAGGTTATTCGAAAGTACTTGTATAAGTACCATGTTTAAAAAAAATCGGTATCTTGATTGTACACAATGTGATTATAAACAATTTCGACATATTCTCTAGATTCACTGATCATGTTTATAGTGAAAATGAATTAGTTTGATTGTTGTCTTTCCCAGTGACACAAGCCATAACACCGAAAAATAAATTTTACTCATTCAATTTTTGAGGCACTAAATAGAAGAATCCATCTTGTTATTGAGGCACTAAAATGGATAAAAGTGAAAAGAAATCCGAGGAAGTTGACTCTGAATGTGTTTCTGACGAAAAAAAATTCGTTAGTGATATTTGCCCGGAGGCATTTACACCAGAACCAAGCATGGTGACACATCGGGACACAATTCACAATGAATACAAAGATTACGAATGCGACAAGTGCGAAAAGAAATTTGAGTTCCGAAGTCATTTGAGTAGGCACCAAATATCATTACACAAAAATAGCAAAGATTTTGTATGCGACAAGTGCCAAAAGAAATTTGTGAAAAAATCAAGTTTATTCGCGCACCAAAAATTGGTACACAAAGATCGGAAAGATTTCACATGCAACAAGTGCAAGAAAAAATTTGAAAATCAATCAACTTTACTCAAGCACAAAAGAATATTCCACGAAGTTTTCAAAGATTACTTATGTGAAATGTGCGCGAAGAGATTCGGAAATAAACAAAGTTGGCTCACGCACATAAAGACCGTCCATGAGGGTCGCCAAAATTTCCCATGTGACGAGTGCGAGGAAGTATTTATAAAAAAATCGCATTTGGTCGACCACCAAAGTACAATACATAAAAGTCACAGAGACTCTGTAGATAATAAGTGCGAAAAGATATTTGGAAAAAATGTTAATTTACTCTTACACCAAAAGGTAATCCACGAACGTCGCAAAGATTTTGAATGTGACAGTGCGCACATAAATTCGGAATAAAACAGCATTTGCTTGTTCACCAAAAGACAGTCCACGAGGGTCGTAAAGATTACGCATGCGACAGGTGCGAAAAGAAATTTAGACAAAAATTTAATTTGCTAGCCCACATAAAAACAGTTCATGAAAGTCGCAAGGATTACGCATGTGACAAGTGTGAGAAAAAATTTTTCTATAGATGTCATTTGCTCTTGCACATAACAACAGTCCACGAGGGTCGCAAAGATAACGCTTGTGACAAATGCGAAAAGAAATTTGGACTCAAATCGACTTTACTTTTGCATGAAAAAACGATCCATCAAGGACGTAAAGACTATGCATGCGACAAATGCGACAAGAAATACGGACAAAAATCAGATTTTTTTCGGCACCAACAAACAGTCCACGAGGGTCGCAAAGATTACTCATGCGACAAATGTGAGAAAAAGTTTGGACAAAAATCAGACTTGTTTCGGCACCAAAGGACAGTCCATGAAGGTCGTAAAGACTATGCATGTGACAAGTGCGAGAAAAAATTTGGATTTAAATCGACTTTATTTTTGCATCAAAAGACAGTCCATCAAGGACGTAAAGACTATGCATGCGACAAATGCGAGAAGAAATTTGGACAAATATCGAATTTGTACTCTCACCAAAAAATAATCCACGAAGGTCGCAAAGATTACACATGCGACAAATGCGAGCAAAAATTTGTAAAAAAATCTAATTTGCTCAAACACCAAAGTATGATTCACGAAGGTCGCAAAGATTTTGCATGCGACAAGTGCAACAAGAAATTTGTGAAAAAATCCGGTTTATTTACGCACCAAAAATTGGTACACAAAAATCGCGAAAATTTCTTGTGCAACAAGTGCGATAGGAAATTTGAAAATAAATCGACTTTACTCAAGCACAACAAAATATTCCACGAAATTTTCAAAGATTACTTATGCGAAAAGTGCGCGAAGAGATTTGGAAATAAACAGAGTTTACTTTTGCATATAAAAACAGTTCACGAGGGTCGCAAAGATGTCTCTTGCGACAATTGCGAAAAGAAATTTGGAGAAAAATGTATTATGATTCAGCACCAAAAAACAGTCCACGAAGGTGGTAAAGATGACGCATGCGAAAAGTGTGAGTAGAAATTTGGACATAAATCGACTTTACTTTTGCATCAAAAGACAGTCCATCAAGGACGTAAAGACTATGCATGCGACAAAGTCGAGAAGAAATTTGGGGCTATATGCAATTTGCTCTACCATCAAAAGATAATGCATGACGGTCGCAAAGATTATGCGTGCGATAAGTGGGAAAAATTTGAGGTAAAAATAAATTTTAAAGGACATCAAGATACAGTCCACGAGGCTCGTAAAGATAAATCCGAGAAGAAAGGATAATTGACTATTGTAAATATGTGAGGTACTTATACATATGTTTTTCTGGAATTTCAATAAAAATTGTGTTGAAATGATTTTGTATTACCTGAACCTCGGACATTCAACTAACATTACACTTTTGAACACTGACGTTGAAATTTTGAGATTTAACTATTATTTTCCCTATATCTGAGCTACACTTAAGATATCAAAAGCATATGAAAATTTGAAAAATCAACCCGCATTTGCTACGAACGCAAAGTATCATACAGGCAATCCCCGCTATTCGCGGTACTCAGTATTCGCGGTTTCGCTTATTCGCGGTTCTTTAATTGAGCCATTGTTTCGCTATTCGCGGGAGTCGGATTCGCTTATTCGCGGTTTACTTCACGGTTGTTTAGTAATAATTTTAATAAAGCTGTGATGGATTTGGGTCAAAAGCTCAAGATTTTGGAGCTAATAAGAGAAGGAGAAAAAATTGCCATTATTGCACGTAGATTCGAGGTTAATGAGTCAACTATTAGGTCTATCCGCAATAACGGGGATTCTGTTTCGGTATTCGCGGTTTCGGTATTCGCGGTGTTTTTCGGGAACGAATTAACCGCGAATAACGGGGATTGCCTGTAGTTACATTACTCAAAGTAATCACTCGAGCAAGTATTTAAAGCTACTGTATTCTTCAAACATGCGTTGAACAAAATAAGACAGAAAAGAGCCCGATTGGGTTAAGAAATGATGAACTGACTGTTATTTTTTTTAGTAGATTGAGATTTTATTTGCATTCAAAGTCTTCTGATACTCTCGTGGGAAATAATGAATTTCGCAGTTCATCCAGCTTACTTATTCATAGTTTATACAATAAACAATTATTATTAATTTTTTTTCCTTTTCTTTTATCCACCATGTACGCTCGTTTTACAATAAGTACACAGTCGTAAAATCATTAGTAAAAAATTACCAAGGGGCTTTTCAATGATTTATTGTATGGCATTAGTCTCGCGCGGATTCGGAACACATGCTGTTACTTATATTCGCTTTGAAAGTATTTTCCTTTTTTTTTTCTTATTGAAAAATTTATCTACAGACATTGCTCATCGATATCACATTCATTCTGTCGTATAGTGGTTACGATTTTTTTTCCTCTTACTTTTTATTTCTTTCTAATCAATAAATTGTATACTTTTTTTCAATTAAACTGCGCTGCAGCATGATATTTATTTCGTTTAAAATGAACCAGATAATACGTTGCCTATAAAAATTTGCTAAAAACATTGTAAAGTTACTTTAAAAAATGTACATACTTTTCAGATTCCTAATTGTGAAGAATATTGTCACTCATTGATCGATCTTAACAAATTATACTGACAGTAAACATAGCCCGAAATTGTTTTTTCTAAAAGGAATGATTAGAAAAAGCTGTAAAAGTCAGCTTTAATTAAATAAGTTAATTTTGAAATTGGTGCTATACGATTTTAAATTAATTGGCGGTTAATTTTTCTTACACTATTTTACAAGAAATTGTAATTAGATCTATTTCAAATCTGAATGATGACTGAAGTTAATTGTTATTGATCAGAATATTATTATTTGTTATAATTATTTGAAGACCCTTATTTAGACTAATAATCGTTTTAAACTTAAAAATATGAATGTTGTTTTGGTGTTAGGTCATTGAGTTTTCCATCTGATCATTCATCATAGTTCATTACTTATTGATTCTTTAAGCTTTAAATGTAACAATTGGTAATAATATCAGACCATACAATTACAAAATATTATGTATAAATTTTCACAAAAGTAAAAGTTGTAATTTACTAGGTTAAAAATGATGCTTTTTCAAAAATTGATAAGTATTGGATGATGGTTCTTTTTCACCCATATAACAATTATATAAATACACTGTATTATTATCTCAAATGAGTTTAGAATAAGTGAAAATGATTAAAATGGAGCATTTGAAATAAAAAATTATTTAAATGAAACTTCACACAATGCGCGTCCACAACATTATTATTAAATGACTTTCGAGCTATTGCTTTCAACCACATTCTGCTTTAATCAAACAAAAATTTTAATAGCCACTTTTTGAAAGTAATTGACCCCTATTTTTGCATAGTCAAAGCTAATTCACAATGTCACTATACCACCAAATTGCTCTAGAAAGTACACATCTCTACAGCATAAAATAGTTTTTGAGTTATTTGATACACACACAATCACATATTTAGTTTTCTGTTGCTGGCTTTTTGGTTTGACGCTCTTTTGCACGTCTTAGTCGACTCAAAAGTAAGGCATGCAGTTGTTCAATTTCTTTTTGGGCTGCTTGTACAACAAATATGCGCACGTCACCTTGTATATCCATTGCTGTTATGCGAAGAGATTTAGATCCTGCTCGTTCAGCAGTCATTCCTGGCCATACTTTAGTGTTGAGAACAAGACGTTGTGTACCAGCTGCTCGACCTATCAGACGTGATTCATCGTCGCGGTCATTTAAACGCAAAGAACCACGACCACGTTCTTGATAACTACTTGTTGCCTGGAAAAAATTAAAATTATAAAATCAATATGATTCATAATCTATATATTATAGAAAATTTTTCAATAAAAATAATTACCTTGTCAAAAGCAAACAATTTACAATTAATTTGCAACACATTTATTTCATCCTCCTCCCCAGTCAGTAAAGCAACTTCATCATACTTTCTTTTATTAGCTCTGGTAGCTTCTTCCATTTCTTGAGCAGCTTCTGACAATGTTTTGTCCGGCTTATCATTGTTACTAGTAGATTTACACACAGTAGCTGCATTTGAAAACATTAATTCTGATGATCCATTTTCACTTGCAGCTTCCACTGATTCTTCTTTTTTCTCTGAACTATCTTCCTCTGCTGTCTTTGCTACACGATCTTTCAAATTTTGGCCAAAAACAAAACTTGGAGCGGATGTGCCAGAAGCAAGCGTACTACTCACAGTGGAAGGTTCAGCGTCTTTGTTTGACGTATTATTCAAAGGCAAAAATTTTGGCTGCTCTGTGTTTTTTTCTTCTGCACTGGGTTTTTCTGATTCACCTGTTTTATTGTCTTCATTGGACACCTTTTGAGCTTTATCTTCTGACTCATCATCTGACTTTTTATCAACTTTTGCAAAAGGATTACTTATTTTAGTTGTTTCAGCACTGCTTTTTGGCGGAGAAGTAGAACTATTGGCAACTGCACTAAGAGCGGATGGTCTCAATAGAGAACCCCTTAATTTGATAGATGATGATTTAGACGGCGAATCAGAAGATGAAACAGAAAAATGATCCGGAGCCCAAAGTGTGACTGGAATTATTCAAATAAAGATTAACAAATACACTAAGTGTAGCTAACTATGTATTTCAAGATAGAAGCAAAATGATAATACCTTGGGGTTTTATCTTTCTCGATTCTCTGAAAAGACTATTAGAGGATGAAGAATTGTCTGAATCTTTATCGCTCAAAACCTTCTCACTTTCATCTGCAAATTGCAAAGTAAAAAAATGATTAAATTGATACAGAGTTGAAAGAAATGAATAGCCATCACTAACCATTATTAGAATTGTCGTTGGATTCTTCGGGGCTATCGATTTTCATTTTTGGTGTCTGGTTTGTCTCGGACTCGTCACTGCTCCCTGAAACACGTTCAATAACAAAACCAAAGATCAATATAACGCATTTCCAATTGTACAGCGCGTCGTCGCTGTTGCCTGCTGTAGCTGCAGATATTTCGCGAGGGGCTGCTGCAAGGCACGGTTTTATTTTGCGGTTATAAATGACATACGTAAATCAATCTCGAAAAAGCACGGAACGCGTGAGGCAAGAAGCATCGGAGGCGAGAGAAGCGTTATAATAAAGGTATAGTGCAGAGCATGGAAAAAGCGAGGTCGATTTTTTTTATTATTCTTCTCTCCTCTTCCTTGCGTCTTGGCCGTCTTGGTCGTCGTCGTCGTCGTCGTCGCGTCGCAGGCGTCGCGAATGATAATAATAAAATGAAAAAAAGGAGCAGAAATCAGGAGAGAACGAAGGGGGATGAAAGAGGGTATCGGATAACGCCGAGATCAGAGTGTAAATAATCCAGCATACCCTTGCAATCCGCCATGTTTTAGAGCTAGCTCCTTGCGAGAACAGTGCGGATACGCGCGGCGAATTACTGCTACTGCTGCCTGGTGCTAATGCTGCTGCTGCTGCTGCTGCTACTGCTGCTACTGCTTCTATAGTAGTGCTGCTGCTGCTGCTTTTGCTGACTGGCTGACTGTTTAATACAAAGTGTTATATGTGTGTATCGTGCTATATAGCTGCTCTGGCGGATTTTAACACTGCACATACGCATGCACACACGCGCGAAAAAGCTTGTATTCGCGCGGTGGTGCTGCTGGCATATATGTCTGTATGCACAGACACAACACAAAAGGTGTGCGTGTGTATATATGTGTACGGTATATGTCAGTGCTGCTGCACTGCACTCTCAGACCGATGCTGGCACTTCTGTGGGGTTGTTGCGTTTGTGTGCGCGTGTGTGTGTGTGTGTATTATGTGCCGTGGTGCGTGTGTGTCTTTTTGTATATTGTGTTTGCCGAGAACGCGGCAGAGGCCAAAACTATATATACACGCGCGCAACGCAGCACACGATTATATGGAACGTCAAAGTCCCGCCGTTCGATCGGGCTATTTGATGTTTCAAAAATTTTATCGCTTCTCGATCGTGCGCACATTAGCAGTAATGATGCATCGATCGCGGTGAAAATTCAATGATGCGCCGTGACACGAGACTCGATTCGCGTATTCAATTAAAAAGCGCGAAAGATGTTTAAATCACGTGAAACGCGTCGATCGGAGAATTTTTTGAAAAACAACGTGGAACGGCGGAGAGATGCGCGCGCGCACATGCCGGTACGAAGTTGTAGTAAAGTAGAGCCGACAGCTAGCGACGCCGACGGAGATAGGCCCGAAATAGTTCGAAGCACACTGCACACAGTGCATACAACAGCTTTGACTTTTGTGTAAGTCGTTACTCGTTAGTACAGAGGCTAGAGCTCTGCTGCACACTGCACAGGGCCAACAAGACAGTCGCACTCGCAGGAGCTTTAGACAGTTTATTAGAGGTGTTATAGAAAAAGTGACCGGCAGAGCAGCAGCGACATTGGAGGCCGATGCGTAACCTAAAAGTCAAACATTGACGTGTGTTTACAGTGGATCTGTTATCTGTTGATCGATTGAAAAAGTAATCGAGTGCATTTTTGGTGAAAATGCCTCCAACGCAAAATTCCAGTATTGATTCTGGTAAGTTATTTTTATGGTAAAGCATTGATAAAAGCGTTTTTACACAAGGTGATGGTGATTTAATAGCTGTAGTAAATGTAAACATCATGTGTAAATGTCACTTTAGCAATGACTATATTTTAAAAAAAGTTAACATAATTGTAATTATATTTTTAACTAAATTAGCTCAATCGGACTCTGAAAGTGGTACTGGTTCATCGGCTTCAAGCCGCAGTGGAAGTCCAAACTCCTCACACAAACCACAGCAATCTGAGCGAGCTGGCTCAAATGATGGAAGTCGACCACACTCCAGAGCTTCGAGCAGACGAAGCAGTCGTTCCAGATCTGTAAGCAGATCTCCATCCAAAGCGAGATCTCGCAGTCCAAGATCTTCAAGATCTAGAAGCAAAACACCTGGTAGTCATAGATCAGGTTCTCATCGCTCGCGAAGTGGATCTGTAAATTCAGCTAGATCAGGCTCACATCATTCTCGCACCCCATCGCCTGCAGGAAGTCAAAAATCTGGACACAGTAGAAGGTACAAAAACATTGTTAAATGAATGTCATTTGCATTATTTTATCATGTTATTGGAATTTTATATTTCTGACTTTTATTAATTAAATTAGATCAGGAAGATCCAGAAGTGGTTCGTACAACAGTAAGCGATCTGGTAGTCATGTGAGCCAGCGATCTGGAAGCAATGTTAGTAAAAGGTCTGGAAGTCATGCCAGCAGGCGATCAGGAAGTCATGCAAGCAGAAGATCTGGAAGTCACACTAGCAGACGATCGGGAAGTCATGAAAGTAGAAGATCTGGAAGCCATGCTAGCAGGCGATCTGGAAGTCATGTCAGCAAAAGATCTGGAAGTCACGTTAGTCACAGATCAGGTAGTCAGACTAGTAGGAGGTCTGGAAGTCATGGAAGTAGAAGTTCGAGTGGCTCGAGACATAGTCGATCCAGAAGTCCTTCTCATGACTCCTTGAAAAAAACTAGTACGTACCTAAAATTTTATCAATCTTCAGCCAGGCATGCTTCTTTGTTGACTAATACCATAAAACAATTTCCTGCACGTTGTTTTAATGCTCTCTTAGAACTATATTTAGCTATGTTACTATATGCATTCACTTATATGCAATGCATTATGAGGATATTTTAATTAGAATTGTTGTGATTTATGCAATGTGTCCAATGAAAAAAAAAGATGGACAAATTTATTTTTCCTTTCTTGGGACCAATTTTATTGATAGATTACCAGTTGAGTAGTTTTTAACATATTCTTAATTTCTACTTAAATTTAAAGTAGACACAGTATATTACTTGATACTTGAATTAATGTTGTGTCAAATATTTATTATTCAACCTGTGACCACTTGGTGATTACCACTATCAATAAGTCCAGGGATCATTTCACAGAAATGATAGATAAATTTGAGCAATTTCAATATGAGTCAATGAATTTTAAAACTATGATGGTTGTTGAATAATGAATAAATATATTTGACAAACATGAAATTGATCTGAATCTTGAAATAAATAGAGTGAATTTTTTTATACTAAATTTTGCCTGCAGCATGTTATAGTTGTGAATTTTTTTTTTAAATTGAAATAGATTTTTGCTTACTCCCCTTTGTTACCAAGCAAAAACTTTTGATTGCAGCCTTCAGATTATTAGATAAATCTATGATCTTGTATTGAAGATTGTGTTGTATTTGTCATTGGTGATAAGCAGAAAATGTAAATCTAGTGAAGTAGAGTCACTGTCTGTGTTAAACCATGTACTGTTGTTATTATTGTTTTGCATGATCAACACAGCGACAGCTCGTACTAGGCTATATTTAGATTTTTAGATTATCACTGAATTGGAGTCACTCACGTGTACACCCAGGCAATAATTCTTGAGCTCCCATTAGAAATAACTACGACCGCAGATCTCAAACGAAAACGGTTGAAATAAGTTAAAAACCAGAAAATTGTTTAGTCAAAAATGCCAAATAAATTTATTATCATCGTCATTTTATCGTGACATCATAACATGTTCATAAAATTGAAGCATTGTCACTCTGAAAGACACCATCACTTTGACACTGCATCTCTAGCGTTGTATGTCTTTTCTTTCGTTGTGGTGCGCTGAAATGATTTTCGCGATCTTCCTGATCGCGGCCTCGGCCGCTCGAATCTCCGGAATCCTTCGTGTATTTCTCCAGTATGGCCGTGCCTCTGAAGAAGCTGTCGCTGGCCTGTTTGACGGTAGCGGACGCGAGCGCGACGCCGTCGTCGCCGCCGCCTCGTAGCAACAAACTGCACCTGTTCTTGTTGAAGGCGTTCCAAACCTTCTTGGCGTGATGCAGCCTCAGCTTCATCTCGCAGGCTACGAATTCGTCGATCGGCTCTTCCTTTGCTTTGCCCGCCACGTGCTCGGCCCAATTTTTGTAATCCACAAGCTCCTGGGCGAGAAGCATCGAGTACCCGTGACGACGCTTGGATTCTGCGTCGGGCTGCACCATCTCCTCGATCAAATGACTCTTGATGGATTCCAACAGACTATCGTTCGTTGCTTCCATCGCCGTTATTCGTCTTTTAATTTCTGTCGCGAAGCGTTCGAAACCACTGCACTGGAGAAAGTGAGAACACTTATGGCACAGTGAGCTGTAAGCTACATTTTTGAAAAGTGATAGTGGCGTCACTATTTCTCGCTTTGCTCACGATTCAAATTTTCTCTTTCTCGTTCCTCTCGAAAAGAAATTCGTCCAACGATGCATCGATGATCCAACGATACTCGATAAAATTAATAGCCTTTGAAAATGTTATTATTTGGGTGAAAGATTTGTGGGAATAGAAAAAAAAATTTACAATTAGTTTAGTGGTACTTATTGTTAGTAATTTTATTCAAAATCATTGGATACACTGTTTTAAATTTAACAAGCCTAACACGACACTGCACAGCTTAGATCGATTTTTGACTTATATAGCACATATACATTGATCCTGAAACAACAAAACATAAACACAATCTTGAAACATTATATAAATGTAAATAAAAACCACGATCAAAAATAGAAATGATCAAAAAAAAAAACCAAACCGAAACGAGAAATCAGTCATTCAAAACTACATCATTTGAATAAATCACCCACGTGAATCATAACACACTCATAAACTCGCCTTTTAATTTTTTTTTTTTTTACTCCTTTTCGCAAATATAAAATCGGCTTACGCAACGACGTATATACCACGACTGCACACTTACTTCGTAAGAAACTCGTTGGTTCGCTTCTCTCAATCGAAAAAATCGTCGTCGAAGTAGACGCGCGTCTCCCCGAGGACGACGTAGGCCTTGGCCAGCGAACGGAAGAATATCGTCCTCGTGTAGATCATGTCGCGGCGCATGCTGTCGAGATCGAGCGAGTCGACGACGCCCGAGCAGTCCATCTGCTGATTGAAGTACAGCCGCCACATCTGCTCGGCGTGCTTGACGCGTATGTGCAGCTCCATGATCTGGGCGCGATTCGAGAGCTTGGCCTCGGGCTTCAGGTCCCAGTTCTTCACGTAGTTCGAGAAGTCGTGCAGCTCGTTCTTGGCGAACTGCAGCTTGAACACGGCCCGGGTCGTCCTGTCGTCGACCGGGTTCGCCTTCAGCTTCAGCTGATCGCGTTGCTGCTGCTGCTGCTGCTGCAGCTGCTGTAGATCGTCCACCGTGGCGGCCGACGTTACGCCGGTCGTCGTCGTCGTCGTTGACGCCGTCGTCGCCGCCGCGGACGGCAACGTCGCGGCTTTGGCTTTATCCTTCGAGCGACTTCTCAACATGACGGCTGCTTTTCCAAGACTAAACTTAACACGCGGCACCACGGCCAAGTGAGCGGAAAATATTTTCCCGCTCCGTGAGCAAATCAGGATTAATGTACCACTTACTACTACTGCGACGCGCTGTGCTGCATGCCTTACGCAATCGCCTACGCGCGCGGCTGCTGCTGCTGCTGCACGACGTTATTTTGAATATTCATATCGAGCCTCGCGTGCATACTATAGCAATGCGTACGGCAGCAAACAGGTGTGTGATGTAATGAGCTTTTTCCTCGTTTCAGCCGCTGCAGCCGACGACGACGACAAACAACAACAACAGCAACCGGAGAAACGACGCGTGCGAAGCGACGACTCCGAGTCCGACAACGCCGAGACCAAGGCCAAGAAGAAGCGCAGCGCCCTGATCGACAGCGACTCCGAGCCCGACGACGAGATCCAGAAGGCCAGCAAGCAAAGTGACGAGCCGCAGCCGACGGCCGACGCTCTGTTCGGGGACGACATCAGCGACATCAGTACCGACGACGAGGACGAGGCGGCGGCCGGGAAAAAAGACGCCGACAAGGAGGCCGACGACGACGACGACGCCGTGGCCGGGGCTTCCACCTCGGAGGCCGCTGCTGCCGATTATACACCCGCTTCACCACCGGTGCATCGACGCAGTCGCAGTCGCAGCAGGAGTAGGAGTCGCAGCAGGAGCCGCAGTCGCGACGGGTCCGAGGAGAGGAGTCGCGCGCCCCTCATCGAGGACGTAAGTGACATACAGCAAAAAATTTATTGAATGAGCTTGGGTTTCGAGCAAATTTTCCGACGATAATGATTTTATGTACGCTCAGGACGAGGAAAAGGAGAAGGAGGACGAGCCGCCACCGGAGACGCGCATCGACGTCGAGATACCCAAGATCACGACCGATCTCGGCCGCGAGATACACTTCGTCAAGCTGCCCAACTTTTTGTCCGTGGAGACTCGGCCCTTCGATCACGAGACTTACGAGGACGAGATCGACGAAGAGGAGACCCTCGACGAGGAGGGCCGCGCCAGGCTCAAGCTCAAAGTGGAAAATACTATAAGGTACGGTAGTTTTAAAACTTTTCCCTTGCTGCATATTATAACTTGGCTCACTCTTGCATTTCCAGATGGAAGGAGGACTTCAACGAGGACGGCAAGCTCGAGAAGCAGAGCAACGCCCGCTTCGTGCGCTGGTCCGACGGCAGCATGTCGCTGCATCTCGGCTCGGAGATATTCGACGTGTACAAGCAGCCGCTGCAGGGCGATCACAATCATCTCTACATCAGGCAGGGCACGGGTCTGCAGGGCCAGTCGGTGTTCCGCACCAAGCTCACGTTCAGGCCGCACTCGACCGAGTCCTTCACCCATCGCAAGATGACCATGTCGCTGGCCGACAGATCGCAAAAGACGAGCGGCATCAAGGTCATATCGCAGGTCGGCACCAATCCCGACCAGAACAAGTACGAGATGATCAAGAAGGAGGAGGAGAAGCTGCGCATGGCCATGCGCGCCCAGAGCAAGCCCAAGAAGCCGTCGGGCCGCGGCTCGAATCGGGCCAACGCCGGCTACGGCAACGATCCGTATCACGACGAGGCCTCGGACGACGAGAACGCGATCTCGCTGGCGGCCATCAAGAACAAGTACAAGAACAAGTCCGGTGGCGGTGTCTCGAAACGTAAGTTCTTCGTTTAATATTAATTTTAGGAGAAAATGAATGTAATCGATTGTTGATCGTTTTTTAAACTTTTTCAGTCGCCTCCAATATATATTCATCTGACGAAGAGGGATCGGATTTCGAGGCCGGCCGGCCCAAGAAGCACCAAAAGAGCCGCACGATTCTGGATTCCGACGAAGAATCGAAATCTGGCTCGGATTCCGCCAGTGGCGGCGACAACGTGGACGTTGAAAAAGATAGCGAAGAAGAAGAGTAAACAGTGTACAAATGTGTATTTTCAGTATAAAATAATGTATAAAACTGCAACTTGTTAGTTTGAAAATTATCATAGGGTTCTTTTTTAAGTCATAAAAATTCACATTGAATCTTTATTGTCAATTCGATTCAATTACTTACTTGAATAAAAAAAAGTTTTTAGTAATTAAGTACATATTTGTTTATTATATTTATTAAGATTAAACTCACTCGCTTTGCATAAAATTATATGATTGAGATTAAACGTATGATCAAATTTTACAAATTTTGTTATTGACAAAAATCTTTACAGAAGCCGCTGTGAAATTTATCAGTATCGGCCAAATTTATACAATTACTTTTCATTGAGTTCTTTAGCTCTAATTTCTCCTGCAAAGTATAGAACTCTCGCGTAGCTAATATTATTTTTAAATCAAGTATAATTCAAAGATTTTATCGAAAGTATGAGCGGCTCCTCATCGTTTCTTATCCGACATCGCTGTACAGATTCATTCTTTCTCCTGAAATATACGTAATCATGCCAAATCGGCTAATTAAAATTGGAAACTACAGCTTGTGGTCGAATCTCTCGAATTCACCTACCGACGACCACTCGCACAATTCGCTCGACTCCTCCTCGATCATCATTACACCTCGTCCGGGGCGAAGGGCTGCAGCAGATTGCCGGCGACTCGTCCCGCCCTCATCAGCTGCTCTCTCGTCGCCTTCAGTGCCTCGGAAGTCTTCAGTGCCTCCTCCTGCTGGCGCTGCTCGTCGCTGCCGCTGCTACCGCCGCCGCCGCTGCCGCTGCTGCCGGCCAGTCCGCTCAGCCTGACGTGAGTCTCCAGGATCCTCTCGAGCACGTACTGGGCGTGACGCAGCCTCAGCTGTATGCGTATGAACTCGGCGCTGTTCTCCTCGGGCCGGGTCGTCACCTCCTGGTTGACGTAGCGATCGAACGAGTCGATCTCCTTCTGGCAGAACTCGAGCTGCGACTGGAGCTGCTGCATCCGAGTGGCGGTGATCTCATCCACCTTGTCCTCCGACTTCTTTCTGCTCGGGAACATACTTTTTTTTACCTTGGGATCTGTTTTCGTCGGGGAATTTTCGCGCGAACACGACTGACTCTGGCTGTCAAAATTTCGATGTGTACTTCGCGCGACTGATGCGATGTTTATCTTTGGCGACGGTTATTATTATTTGTTGTGTTCGGAAATGATTTTTCTAGCGCGTGGAAAGATGGCGTATTGGTCAAAAATTTTGAAAAATAATTTCCCATACTTAACGGTCGAACTGAAAAATCAGAGGTAAACACATGGACGAAACAATGAACGAACGAGCTCGACTAATTCATAATCAATTCTTATTTATTCTTTCTATACTTTAAGCTTAAATTTTTACGACAATGGAATTACAGTCATTTTATTTTTCGCTTTACATATATTGTTTTCTTTTTCTCGATAAACTGTTTGTTTTTTGTTTATATATATTACAATACGATACCGCTTAAAAACGAAAAAATAAACCAACTCAATTAATTAGCACTCATCTACATCGTAATGCGCACAGCTCTAAAAACAATATCGTGCTCGAACGAGCGTAAATCGCTCTTAAAAAAAAAACAAAAGGCTAGCCTTTTTTAATTAAACTTAAAATCGTTACCGAGAATCTTCTTAGCGTTCGCAATGTTGAGTACGTAAATAACGAAACGAACCGAAAAAAAAATTATCATTTTTTCTTTCTTAGCGCAGTCTTGAAAGGGAAACAGTCATCTATACGCTGTGTGTGTGCGTGCGTGCGTGCGTTTACGCGCGTCGACGAACAATCGAAATTCAATAATAATAACGCGCGCGTGGCACAGTGCATCTGCGCGGGAAAACGCGTCAGCGGCGGCGACCTTATCGCCGCCCATTATGTATTTCATTTGTTTCACTTATCAGCTAACGTATACCATACAATATTTAATATATAAGTCGAACTTGATGTACGCGTGAATTTTGCACTAAACGTATGTATTATTATAGTCCATATGTATGTAACGTAGAACACGCCTGCGATACATTACATCTATCTCACAGCGCACACGCATATATGTATACGGTTCAACGGTCTGCCCACACACTCGCACTCCGATGACTCCCCGTTTTGTAATCGATACAACGTTTGAATTACTCCCTCGCTTGGTTCATAAAATACGTACATATAGACGTCTATCGCTTAATAGCTAGGATATATATATATCGTTTTTCGAAATATTTGCACACTCGTTGACTCCGGGCCTACAAAAATACCTATCGTCGTCGTGGAAATCTATTGTACGCACGCGTGAAAAATATAACGATAATATCATCGCACACTACGTTCTACACCAGGCATTTATAATTGTTTAACTTACAATGTAAAAATCCCTTAACGTTTATTTCACAGGAAGTCGTAATTTATGTAATATCAGAGAAATAGAGACACGAGCGTATCGCGCGAGGCTTTTATAAAATCGGTCGGCGTCGTTGTTCTTTCGCCGCTGTGTATCGTGTGTACAATAGGAAAAATCGAAAAAGTTTATATATAATGCGAATTTATCCTGCGCGCGAAACATCATCACAGAAAATCTCGAAAAAATTTCGCAATACAATAATGTACGTGTACGTGTGTATAGAAAAATGTGCTAAAGTATTACAATTGGTGATTTACTATCGTTTAAACGCGTTACAAAATTGTTTCCGTAGGGTACAAACAAACGCAGTATTTAAGCTTATCACAATGTTACATTATAATATAGAAAGTTATTCCGTATCCAAGTGCGTTACTTTTTTCTTTCGATTATTAATCGTAATTTTTTTTCTTCATTTATTTAATCATAAACGCACGGGTGAGCTCGATGCCCGCCAACGCAATTCGCGAAAGAGATCCATTCTTCATCGTTTATTCTTATTCATACTATTATTTATTATTTTTTAAAATAGTGAAAAAATCTCGTATCGAAACGCAGTCAGAGAAGATTAAATTGGTAATCTCGTGTGTATATTTGTCATCATGAAAATTCTGATTTACATGAGTTTTGTTTTTGTTTCTTTTTTTTTGCGCTTTCGAGCTCAAGTTCCGTCTTGCGTAAAAAAAAATAATAAACCAAAAAAATTAGTCAGAACAAACGATGTAAAATTTTTGAATGACAAAATTTGTTTTCCGATAACGCTTAAATTAAACGTCGATTGAATTACTCAATGTTCACTAAATCAGTCGCGCTCTGACACAATTGCGAGCATACAATAGTAGTCCGTACACTCTTTACAATTTTATAAAGCAACAACCACAAAGGTTTGAATTTTTCACTCTCTGGAATCTCTCTCGCATCGCGAGCGCGAAAACTTAATAAGTAAAAAATTAGAAGGCGAAAGTCTCGCATCACTTATATTTACAAAAACACGTAAAAAGATCCTACCGTATCTCCGACGCCAAATTTAAGTTAAAATATCAATACGTGTTTTCTGTATCATCGTATAATGTTATACATTTATATAATATCATTAAATTATCAATGTCAATGCTCGATCAGTTATTTACAAAAAAAAAGGTTTTTCGCGGATAATGTAACTAATTATTAATAATAAAAAGTATTGGTATAATAAACGACGCGTCGAGTCGGGGCACGACGATATCTTCTTTAGCGAATATCCTCTTCTCTCCCTCGATCAATTTTTTTGTTCTGCTGTTGTCCCCCATCTCGTATCATCGTCTTCTCGTGTCGTCGCTCGCTCGAATCGTACGACGATTATCATCATTGTTAAATATTAATTCCGGCCGGGGCTCGTGCTCGTCGTTTCACAGGTCGTTCGCGTGCACCGTCGGTGCCATTGGCTCTCAGCAGGCCTGCAACACACAGAAAGAAAGAAAGAATTATAAACGTGCGAGAGATAGCGCAAACATTGAAAAATTATGACTGGCCATTAAATTGATATTATACATTTCTATGTTTGTACCGGCGAACGATGTCAAGGTATTCCCTCCTCGACTTTGTTATCGAACGAATGGTAATTTTCGCTGCTTCAAATACGACGAATATAAAGTATCGATCTTGAAAAAGGAGCCGCTTATCAATCTCTCCGATCTCAATTATACTTTTGTGTTGGGAGGCGCATAATAATGTAAGGCGCGCGTGCTGAACACGACACACTCGGCGCGTATTACAACGCGTCCATTTGGAAGACGACTCTCGTACATAATAATGTACATAAATATCGTTAAACTCGCGCAACATGGGGCGCACGCCGCGCGTATACATCGTGTACGTCGTTTTTTAAGACGATCGAGTCTGCAGGATGCGCTTCTTCTTCTTCTTCGCGACTATATAATATAATGGGGATTCCGGCGGGAATTATGAGTTCGCGAGAGCAGGTGGTAAAGGTCACGGCGACTCCGCTCGAACGCCACGAGACCGCCAACTAGCACTCCTTGTATCGTAGATAAATCTCGTCGGTGTATCGCCTACTCCTCGCGCGTCATCGTATATCGTGAGCGAGCGCGACGCGGCGCGCTTGCATTAAAATGATTCGATTTTTTTGTCGTTGCGTGTATGAAGTTTAAGTGGTATCGAATGCACACCAATCGGTTTCGTATCGATTTACCGGCCGCATTACCGCGACGGTGAACGAAGGTGTAATGATGGTTAGAATCAGGTAAGGTACAATCGTATGGCTACAAATTTTATTGAAATTTTAGGTAAACGTATGTATCAGCGCCTATACATATTTACAATTGTCAAGAGAAAAATCACGATGATCATGATAAACATAATCGTCTAATATATAAAAATTTAACTTTATCGAAACTATGTCGAAAGTTCATATTAAGTGTGGTAAATCAAATTGCGTTCATAAGCAATAACTTTTATATTTTGTCATATGCATAATCTTAAAAAACGTCGAAATTGTTTTGGGATTAAAGGATTAAAGGGTACACTTTGCGACTCATTCGAGTGTTTTTCAAATTTCTTCTCATACTTGACGCACGTGTTAACTACGACCTTCATGAATCTTCCTTTGGTGGAAAAGTAAATTCGATATTTGTTCAAATTTCCTTTCGCATTTGTCGCATGCGTAATCTTTGTGACCTTGGTGGACTGTCCTTTGGTGCCGAAACAAGTCTGATTTTTGTCCAAAATTTTTCTCGCACTTGTCGCAAGCAAAATCTTTACGACCCTCGTGAACTGTTCTCACGTGCGTGAGCAAACACGACTTTCGTGTGAATTTTTTCTCGCATTTCTCGCATGCGTAATCTTTGTGACCTTCGTGGACTATTCTTTGGTGTTTTTTCAAAATGCTTTTAAACCCGTATTTCTTATCGCACTTGTCGCACGCGAAATCTTTACGACCTTCGTGGACTGTTTTTTGGTGGTCGAGCAAATTTGATTTTTGTCCAAATTTCTTCTCACACTTGTCGCACGCATAATTTTTACTACCTTCATGGATTATTCTTTGGTGAGAGTACAGATTTGATATTTGTCCAAATTTCATCTCGCATTTGTCACATAAGTAATCTTTGCGACCCTCGTGGACGGTTCTTTGGTGTGTGAACCACTGGTACTTATCTCTAAATTTCTTCTCACAAAGACCGCATGAAAAATCGTTGCCACCTTCGTGGGCTATCTTTTGGTGTCTAATCAAACTATATCGTTGTCCAAATTTTATCTCGCACTTGTCACATGAATAGTCTTTACGTTCTTGATGGACTGTCTTTTGATGCATAATTAAAGACGATTTATGCCCAAATTTCTTCTCACACTTGTCGCATGCGTAATCTTTACGACCTTCGTGTATTGTTTTCTGATGCAAGAGCAAACTTAATTTGGTTCCGAATTTCTTCTCGCACTTGTCACATGTGTAGTCTTTGCGATCTTCGTGAATTATTTTTTTATGGAATAGCAAACTTGATTTTTGTGCAAATTCCTTCTGGCACTTGTCACATGCATAATCCTTGTGACCTTCGTGTACTGCCATTTGGTGCCTAGTCAAACTCATTTTTAGTCCAAATTTCATCTGACACTTGTCGNCCTGCACCAGCTGATTTAATTCGTCGCTGACCTCGAATAACATGTCCGCCAAATTATTCTCGTATTTTTTCTGACTGATAATGAGCAGAGGTGTAATGCCGTCCTCGTCGGCTGCATTTGGATCAACGCCGCTTTTCAGCAACGCCTCGGCCGTCTCGTCGCGGCACCAGGCCAGAGCCGTGTTTAGCGGCATTCTTCGCGCGGGGTAATTGGGATTCGGCTCGAAATCGAGAAATTTTTCAATGACGTCTTTGCAGCCGTACTCGCAAGCAACCTGGAAATGCGTTAGGCCAAACTCGTCGACGTAATTCAAGTCGAATCTGT